CCGCAGTATGCGTTTTCGCATTTGCACACATGCAAAAACACACAAAAAAGAAAGCGGTGAAAAGAACTGCATTAAATTTTCATCAAATTTCAATATAACCCAGGCTGGAATGCACCAGGCGGGCCGGTGTGATCATGCGTTTTTGCATCGAACTTTTAGGTTAACTGCATGAATGGTTGTTTCTTCACACTGCCTTGCGCGCTCAATACAGTAAATCGTCATAAATTTTGCATAAACGGAAGTAAACAATTTCCGTTTAGCGGTCGTATTTGAAAAAAATCCAACTGTTCAATCAGAAATTTTCCCGCCAAAAATTTAAGTATCTGTACACGAGAACTACACGTGGTTTGAGGTTGAATTTGAAACCTTTAAGATGTATTTGGATGGGAAATATTTTCCTAAAATGTCAGCTTTCCAGCTTTTCTGACTCCCTAATTAGCCATTTTCCCGTCAGAAAAGTCCACGGGGCTGTACGTTCGAACCGCACATGTCTGGGGGCTGAATTTGGTAAATTTAAGTTGTGCATGAGCAAGGGATAACAACATCCTCAAAAATGTTTGTGACGGCCTTTATCTTGTGAAACCCTTTTGTTTTTGTGCTTTTCCAAATGTATTGGTGGATCCCATATTTCATTGTATTTGTTATGAGACTGTAAGGGTGATAAAGGCGAATTTCCTCCCACCGCTCGTTTTCCAGTCACTTTTACGAAACTGGAGGAAGGAAGGCGGTTTTCGCTCGAGTAGCCCATCCTGCGCTACTGGAGAAGCCCGGTCCTGTACTACTGGAGAAGCGGTTGGCTCAAAGTCTGGGTTGTTACAAGAATTTGGGCCGATTGACTGCCGGCGGGCCCCCCTCCTGCACTTGACACTTTAGAATCGGCTGGTTCTTGACAATTTTCTTGCAATTAACAGCTCAGAAGCGCCTGTCTTTCGGTTGTTGCCCTGCAATCATCAGTCCGGAACGGCTGCGTTCGGGTCCTCCTTGACTTCTGTAATCTTGCTCTGAGCTAGCTATTTCAGCCGAGTCTTCTGTATTAAGGCATTCGCAGGGATCTGGCTCTCGGCCTCCTCCTGTATCATCGGCTACGTTCGCAGGCCGTACTGATTGGCCAGCGTAACTTTGTCGAGTTGAATCACCACCTAGAGAAGAGGGTTTTTCCCGGCAGATGTAATCGGCAGCAAAA